AGCCATTCTTAGTTTATCATATTTGGCTTGGCAACGCAAGAGGATTTATTCTTTATTTATGATTGCAATATACAAATCTTTAAATGATGACTTTATCAGTGGGGGGAAAACTATTTAATCTTAGGTCTCTACAGAGGACAGGCAAACTCACAATGAAGTTGGATGAGAAATGTTTCAATCTTAAAGTGCAACTGCATTGCATCGGAGCACCACAAACCAAGAATGCTATTTAGTTCATTCATAATATTCAAAGCAGACTCCCCCATCCATCCATGTCTCCATGCTTTATTTTGCTGAGAAATCACTTTGAAACCCCCCCCCCCCCCCCTGCATTTCTGGCTGTGACCATCTTGAGTAAGGGCAGATGATTCATATATCATTTATTTCCTGGAATCCATCTGCCATTAGCTCAGGCATAGTCTGAGCTGAGAACCCTCCCTCCCCTCCTGAAGACTCCTTGGATGTATGGCATCACTTGCCTAGGCATGGAGATGAGGAAGTAACTGAAGAAATGTAAAAAAAAAAAAAAAAAAAAAAAGATGAAACAAGTAAATATGATCTACGTTCCTATATATTTCCCAATGCTAGCAGCCTAAGGATTGAAAATAGTCAATGTTGTCTGAGAGACTGAAATTCCACTTTAAACTTTGTAAGGGGTTCTTTACTGTTAGAGTGGTAAGGCTGTGGAACTCTCTTGCACAGTTGGTGGTTTCAGCGAGTAGTTTGCATAAATTACAAAAAAAAACCCTATATTGAGAACAGTAGTGACAAGAAAACACACTCAGGTTGAACTGGATGGACCAGTGTTTTTATTCAACCCTACCAACTATGTAACTCTTGGAAGGCTTGAGGTGTTACAAAACTCTCAGTTATATGTAGGTCCTAATCTCAAGTCTTTCAGGATCTCAGAGAGGAATCCTCCCTTTCATACCTTTGAGTGTTCCAGGAAGTGAGGAGAAAAGTACTTGTTAAAGCACAATGCTGCTGATAGTGTGACTGGGTCCCTAAAGCGAAATTAAACCCTTCTATAGTTTTCAGCCAAGAAAGATGCCATCTTAGCTTCTATTTGATCAGCAACTGCCATGGTGCTGCATGTGATCAGTTTTGACAGACATTTTTGGTTTGACAGTTTGGTTGAGTACACAAGCAAATGTGACAGCATTCCAGAAATCAATTTTTTTTTAAACTGTTAAATTGATGAGTTTAGTTCCGCTTTAAGAATGAATGGCTGCGCACGTACAATAAAAACACCCATCGCTATGACGTACAAATGTGAACTGTGACTTAGGGTACTTTCACACTGATCATCGCAGAAAGCTGCAAAAACTCATGTGTTTTTGCTGCATTTGCTTGCATCTTTTACGGGACATGTGACTCAAAAACTGCACGAAAAACACAACACGGGTGCATTTTGGATACGTATTTTTATTATTGCACAGGATTCATATAGCGCCAACAGTTTCCTCAGCACCAGGGTTGTGGATAAGGGGGTACCACCAGTCCCCCTGTATGGGGCCCAGGCCAGCAGGGGGGACCAGGATGCTGGGTGAAGTGGAAGTGGACAGCAAGGGTGATTGGTCCAACGGGGGGGGAATTACTGGAACGGATGCCCTGTATGGCTCTCTCTGCAGCATCTGCAAGCTGGCTTCTTCTCCTCTTCCTCTAGCTGGTTTTTAGCTGCTACAGAGAGAACTATACAGGGGATCGGTTCCAGTAATTGCCCCCCCGCCACACCCATCACCCCCTCCCTGTGAACCATACATTTCCCTCTGCTGCCCAGGCCCCCAGTGTGCCCCCACCGTGCTGCTGGCTTCCCTCCTTTCCTTTCCACCAGCAGCAGCAAGCACACAATAGAATCCTTCAGAATGGAAAGTAAGGGAAGGGATCGATAAATATGTCCAGACCCTTTCTTTTCTGAACAAACACAATGAGTGATCAGTACCGATCACTGTGTTCATAACTGAAGCATTTTAAACAGTTTTTTTTGGGGGGAGGGCTGTCAGATTTGCTGTATGGGGCCCCGTGGTTTCTAACAGCAGCCCTGCTCAGAGCTTTACAATATAAAGGGAGACAACACAGCAACAGTACAAGAGGGATTTGAGGGCCCTGCTCCTTGGAGCTTACAATCTAAGAGGGAGGGGCTAGTGGTACAAAAGGTAATCACTGTGGGGGATGGACTGATAGGAGAAATAGAAGATTCAGTTATGAGCTGAAGGCGGGATAGGCTTCCCTGAAGAGATAGGTTTTCAGGGATCACCTAAAAGTATTTGCCACGGTTTCTTTTGATTTCAATGAGATGCATTTTTTGTGCTTTTTTTTTTTTTTTTGTACACTAAACCTGCACCAAAAAATGCAAGCCACATTTTTACAAATGCATCTGACCTGCAATGGACCAGTGTGAAGAGTTCCATATGAATATATTGTCTCAGTGTTTTTTGTCTTGGGGAAAAAAAAAATAAGGGCAAATTCACAGCAGCTCCGCCGAGCAACACAGTCCCAGCGTGTAGACAAGGCAATTTGACTTAGGTTGCTTTCACACTGATCCATTTTTCTTCTGCTTTTGCATAAAAAAAAAAAAAAAAAAAAGTGAGAAAAATGGATCAGTGTGAAAGCAACCTAAGTCAAATTGCCTTGTCTACATGCTGGGACAGTGTTGTTGCTCGGCGGAGCTGCTGTGAATTTTCCCTTAGCGTTTTTTGTCTTGAATAATAATAATTACTGCTATACACAGGGGCGGACTGACAACTCATGGGGCCCCCGGGCAATAGGGGATCATGGGGCCCCTGTGTCCTTGCCCAAACTCAAAAAAGCCTATGAAAAAGGTACAGGGGCATCTCATGGGGCCCCTTACTGATCCCGGCACTGAGTTTCCAAATGGTCAGTCTGCCCCTGGCTATACGAGGTCTCTCTAAACCATTCATCAGGGAAAACTTGAAATATCTGGAACAATGCACTCACTACGGATAAAGGTCACCCAGCAGAGATGACCTCGCTCTGTGACATTGGAGACAACCACAGCTATGTATACACTAAACACCAAGTCAGGGAGACCAGCTGACCCGCACGTAATGTACGTAAACGTCGTGCTGCCGTGCGTCACACGGCCAAAGCCGCCCTTCCTACGTAAGGGCCAATGGGAACGCCGGACTATTAGCGGCTCTACCTACCAGAGCCAATGATGTCGACGAAGAGGTGGAGAGGGGGTGTTGCCGTTACGTCACGGAAGGACAAATTCATTAGGTCTGGAGGACGTTCGGTCTCTGTTAACCGGCGAGGGCCGAGTGAGCGCCATCTTCTAGGCGAATGTGAGTAGGCCGCGCAGCGCTGTGGTGGGTTATGGCGGTAGCCGATTGGCTCCGGGCTTTGTATGCTTGTGGTAGTGTTGCTCAATGCCGGGACGCCCTTCACGTGTTTAGGGGTAACCGGACAATGCGTGTCATCGGTAGACGGGGCCTCCTATGAGCGTTGCCGGCTTTTCTCATTCGAGTGCTGTGTCCTTGAGAGGCGGGTGGAGGGTTACAGGAGGAGCGGCCGTGGGCTGTGTTCAGGGTCACCCATTAGACTGGCCATAGAAGGGAGTGTTGAGGACTCTACTCCCTGCACGGCTCCTCATCGGATTGCCAGCACTGCAGTATGTCATAGAGCCGGCTTCGTGTCACACTAGTGCGGTCTGTGCTCAGCCTCCCTACTCCAGGCTTTGTGTTCTCATACCTGCACCCATCTGATCGCCACTCTTATGTCCGGGATATCAGCCTATGGGAGTCTGATGTGTACAAGGTTGCCACAGGATGGGGGAAAATCCCAATGGACACACCTAATCCCTATCCTAATCAAGTTAACCACTTGTCCTCCAGAGGATTTAAACCCCCCCCCTCCCCACCTAACCAGGCTATTTGTTTGCGATACGGTGCTGCATTACTTTAACTGACAATTGTGTGGTCATGCAACGCTGAAGCCAAATTAAATTTACGTCCTTTTTTTTTTTTTTTTCCCCACGAATAGAACTTTCAGTGGTATTTGATCGCCTGTGTATTTGTGCTAAAAACCAAAAAAAAAAGTATTTTGAGAAAATATTTTTTACTTTTTGCTATTAAGCATGTCCAGTATAAAAATTTAAAACAAGTTTTGCCATATTTAGGTTAAAATGTATTCTGCTACATGTCTTTGCTTAAAAAAAAAAAAAAAAAAAAAAATCCAAATACGTGTAAATTGGTTTACGTGAAAGTTATGGCATTTACAAATGGCGGTATATAAACTGGAATTTAAAAATTAAAAAATTTTTTTTACAATGGTGGTGATCAGCGACTTATAGTAGAACTGCGGTGGGCATTCTGACACTGGGGGGGAGCTGATTTGGTGTCAGTGACACCAATACAGTGATCAGTGCTAACAAAAAGCACTGACACTGGACAGGAAGGGGTTAACTTGTGGGGTGATCAAAGGGTTAACTGTGTGCTGTTTTACTACCTGGGCTGTGTGTGATTCACTGCAAGCACATGGCTTTATACGGCTCTGCTATGCAGAGCCGTACAAAGCAGTGTGCAGGAGCTGACGGACAGATTTGCATCGTTTGCATACAGGTCTCTCCCCGTTGGTGAACTTGGCGATTACCAGGTGTCGGCGAGTAATCACCAGCTGGGACCCGGTGATTGACAGCCAAGGCCGCAAATGGTGGCACAGGTAGGGGGCATGCGTGGCTCACATGCGCCCCCTACCCGGAACTGCAAAATCACATGTGTATGTGTGTAATATATATATGTGATGTTGCACACCTCTGCCACCCTGTAGCAGTATTTCTGTTATGGGGTGAGGGGAAGTAGCGCACCCCTGCTGCCCTGTAGCATTATTTCTGCTATAGGGTGGAGGGGAAGTAGTTAAAGTATAACTGAGGGCAAACAGTGTTTTTGTTTTGGACAGAGAAGGGGTTAGAACGCCTGTCAGCTTTTATTGGTGCCTGGGCTCCCATTAGGGAGATTCACCCACTCTGTTTATCTCATCACCTAGAGAGATGAAATAGAAATTCAAAAATCTGAATTATCACCAGAACAGGCCTAGAGGGTAAATATTCCAAAAGGGACACTATTTCTGGTGACGGTGAGGGATTCTCTTACAGAGGGATTTTCTCTCACTTACTGTTGTGGCTATGAGACAGGAAGTGAAGGGCCCCCCCCCCCCCAGTGGGATCCCAAAAGTAGACAGAGGTCTTAAACCTTCTTTGCTCCGTCCAAAACGGGGGGATAAGGTTGGTGTTATTTTAGCTTTAGGACCAGTTCACGCCATAGAAACACAGTCCAGATGCTTTCCCAAATGTATGTTCCAGTGCATTTCCTCTCTTTTTTCTTCACCTTAATGCAGAGCACCACCCAAAAGGGCAAGTTTCTCTGTAAGGCTTAGTCCCCTGTTCCCAGTTAAGGATAGGCACCTTTGGGGAACGGGTGTGGGTACCCGAATTTGACCGTTATCTGTTCCCACTTCTGCTGCAATCACTTTGGCAATTGGAAGTTGTCCTCCCTCCCCGTAGTCTTCTGGGACAAGTGACAGGTTCCAGAAGACTACGGGATCATTCACAAAGCGCAGTGAGCACCCGGATGTGAAGCCGCAAGCTGTCACAGCTGGGTGCCCACACTGAGGATGCCAGCACCAGGGAGAGAAGATGGCCCGTGAAACCAGCGGTGGTGAGGACACCTCTGGACCGAGGGACAGGTAAGTGTCTGTATTTTAAAAGTCAGCAGATACAATTTTTGTAGCTGCTGCAGGACAGCCAGTGTGAGGGCACCATGGGACAGAGAGACAGCTGAGTGTCTATTTAAGTCAACAACCACAGTTTTTTTTTGGAGCTGCTGATTTTTATATGCTTTTAACTTTGGGTGGACTTCCGCTTTAAATAAGGACACCTGTTTTGATGCATTTTACCACGTTCCTGTATGGTTCAGTGCAGAAAAAATGCAGCATGTTCTACTTTTTTTTTTTTTTCCTGGAAATGGACCGCACTGGAACTGACTGCTCCGGTGAGAAAGTATGCCAATGGAACCACATGCAGAGAAAAACACACTGGACTGCATGTGGTGTGGACTGGCTCTCAAGTGTATGCACATCCTGGCAATGGACTTTTCTCATTTTTCTTCCTTTGGTCTGGTAAATCTATAACCAAAAGTGTTGTATATCTGGTCATGAGTGCAGAAAATAGTTGTTGGTCTTTCCAGATCCTTGTCATAAGTCAGCAGAAAGTATAGTCTGTTGTCACTTAATACTATTTCCAGTTCTGCCTGCAGTCTACAGAACTGTTATGTTAGGGCCGGCTCAAAAAAATGCGCATGCAGAAACTCATCCGGAATGCAGAGATTGTGGTGTGAGTCGGCCCTTAAGGAAAGGGGAAGCATTCTTTAGCTCTGTCCTAAGGTGTCAAGGCTGCCTCCATAGATGCATGTTGTCACCCTAGGACAGGAAGTGTTACTGGGAAGATTACCATCTGATAAAGGGAAAAACGAATGCAGCCTCATATCTAAGGACTAGTAAGTTGTAATTTATTATGGTTTGTACTTGGGTTTAGTTACACATTAAACCTTGGCCTATCTGATCTTCTTTGTTAGAACCTGGGAGTCAGTCCACTGAAGTTTTTGGCAAAATCCATGCAATATTTGTCCCTGATTATTGGAGGGTGGGATGTGGTCCCTGGTTATTCTAAGATGCAATATTATGTAAAGGCAAAACCGTGTGCTGATTCCTTGTCACACAAATGATTTTGTAGTAGCAACAGTGTTTTTGAAGGTTGAAAAAAATAGACACCCTTTTATTGTCAGAACCATCTTTCACAGCATATAGAAGTTATTGGATGGCTTTAAAGCTGCCGAAATCAATTCTGTCACGTAGCTGAGAGTAGAGAGTTCCTGCAGCAGTAGTAATTGAGCCTCTTTAAATGCCAATGTTGCCACCGATGTAATGCTTGCAGCAGAAAAAGGAGCAATTTTTTTTGCCCCCTTTAGTAGAATTGCCTTTACTTCCATTTCCATAGACACAGGAGGAAGTGAGAGGAAATCTCTCAAGTAGGGCTGTCCTCTCTAAACTGCTACCAGCACAAGTGTCCCCATCTAAAAATTTCCCTGCTCTTTTTCTGGTTTTTCCTTGCTGCCAATATTGCTCCTTGCTTGTCTTTTACACTGTGCAGGCCAAACCGCCTATGTGAATTAGGCCTTTTTCCACAAGGACAAAAAGGTTACACTTCCCAGAGGTGACCAGTGATCATGAACAAGGGTAAGCAGTTTAAAGAGAGGTTGACTCTCCCTACTGAACATGCACAAAAACTGCCAGGATTTCTAACTATTCCCTCTTCTATCCAAATCGTGAAGAAAAATTGGTTTTGGCTATTGATTTACTATAGACTGGTTGTGGAAATTTGTAGCTCATTTCCTGAATGATTTGACTTCTTTGTAGCATTTAAATCTAGCCATAATTTGCCAGTGGCATAGCTACTTCTATCATCCAAAACCAGCCTCTGATAAGCTCTGAAAACCAGCAGTTTATAGCTCCACTCATAAAGAAGTAGTGTAATCTGCTTCAGCAGAAATTTTGCAGCATCTGCAAATCCAGCCAGACAACAGGTGTGTAATTTCTTTAGACCACTACCACAAAGTTGTTAGCTTGACATATTACTAAGATGCATTAATGACCTCCATACGGAGTATGAACAACTCAAACCTTCTCTTACTTTGTGCAGTAAGAGCTCAAATCTTGGTTTGAAGAATAAGTTCACCGTTTGACAAAAAATAATGCACTTTTTTTTGCAGGTAAAAAAAATGCATTTATTATTTTTTGTTACTGGAGCCTGGAAAAAGCATTGCACCAGTGATCAGCAGTTTGCCTCAGTATATCTGCTTGCCCATTACAGGATGTATAGGCAAGCAGATATACTGACAGAATCAAGGCTGTCGGGACTTGTAGTTCATTCACAGAACTCTATTAATGAATGACGCGTCCATGTGGGCAGAGCCCCACATGGCCACGCTGTTTTAAAAAGTGACAGTTTGTATGGGGAACCTCTCCCTGTACTGTTGTCACAAGGAGGGGTGGGGGGGGGGGGGGGTTCAGGCAGCAGCTGCAGCATTGGAAACATGTTACATGTTCTACCCTAAAAATGGGAGGACCATGTAACTTGTTCCCAAAGATGAACTTCTCCTTAAGGAATATCCAAGTAACTTGTATATAGAAATAAAATGTTTGGGCCAAACTTTTTATTTAAAAAAAATCCTTGGTGACCCAGCCGTACACTATCACCATGGAGTTCTCCTACCACACTTCAAAGGTTCCTTTCCAAACTGGCCCTAGTATGTGTGTGCATGTATATGTGAGATAGCAGGGATGTTGAATTTATATCACCCGATGCCCGGGACATGTAATTCCGGGCAGGTATTTTTCTTAAACCTTCAGCCCTGCTCACCTGTCAGGTGGAAGCATTCAGGCGGCAGCGCTGGCGCCGATTTGCTTTCACATGCCTCCTAGATTGTAAGCTCCAAGCAACAGGGCCCGCAAATCCCTCTTGTATTGAACTGTATTGTCTCCCACTATAGTGTATAGCGCTGAGCAACTGTTGGCACTATATAAATCCTGTATAATAATAATAATAACATGGTGTCAGCCTCTCCCCGATGTGCACTACATTACATTCAATGTAGTACAGGGGAGGGTCTTCTAGACTTTGGATGTCTCCATAAAGAGAACCTGTCACCAAAAATCGTCACATAGGGGACATTGTCCCCTATGTGATGAAAGAAAAAAGTTAAAAAAAAAAAAATTTTTTTTCATTGTAATAAATTAAAGTTACACCCAAGCACATAACATCTCCCCACCCTTGCATGTGTGCACGTACAAACATAAAAGCACACGCTGGTGCGCCTAAGCATGTAAACGTTGATTTCTATACATGTTACATATCGCTCATGCTAGGATGAGAGCAGTAGTTCTAGCACCAGACCTCCTCTGTAACACTATACTGATGACCTATAAGGGGCTTTAAAAGTGTCACCTATAGAAAATACAGGATACTGAAATTCGTCACCATTTCACAAGCACATGCAAATTTAAGGTTTGACATGTTGGATATCTATTTACTCGCTGCAACCTCCTCTTATATTTTACAAAAAAAATTTTATATTTTACAAAAAATAGAGTAATCTATTGCTTTTTTTTGTGCCCTAAAATTAACCAACTTGTATTTTTACTGAAATTTTGCGGTAAAATCATGACCACTAATATATTCTCTAGGGTCTCTGATTTCAGAAAATATATCATGTTTGGGGGTTTTATGTAATCTTCTGGCCTAAAATTATTTTTTTAATCTTGTGCAAAAACAGCTCTGGCAGCGAAAGGGCTAAAGGATAAGCCTGACACTCCCCTTTCCGGTGAGCCGAATCCACAATGTTACAGATGACAATTGGAATTTTTCCCACGGACACAACCAGACAATATCTCACGTCACACTAAAGTGTGCCGCCAGCACAGTAGGTTTAAAAAACTACTGGCGGCTAAAAAGAAAATCCTGACACTGCACCCATTTCCTGACGAGCAGCCCATTACACTGCAAGGTCTCTCTTACTCCCCCCCCAAAGATTTTGCTTGTGAAATTTTGTGATTGAGTTTTATATTATCCATGGTTTTGGGATTCTTACGATGGCTATGTTTCCATGTGTATGGAAGAAGTTTTAAGGTAAACTTATCAAAGCCATACTTTAATTGAACCTTTTATTTTTGCAGCAGTTCAATTTCGATTTTTGTCCTTCACCTTTGTAAAGTGTTCTTTTTGTTTTCTGTTAAACCCACAGCTGCCAAAATGTACTCCACCGTTGCACAGCTAGCCCGGACGAACCCGTTCAATGCACCACATTTCCAGTTGGGACAGGAATGTGTGACTTTAAGGAAGAAAAACACTCCAGAGATCCAACCTGTCCGACACCTTGCTGCTGCAGCTACTGTTGATGGTGAGCTTTAGCAATCGTCTGGATTGGGATAAACTGTGTGGTACATAGCTGCCTTTTGTTAATGAGCAGTATTAAATGTTAGGAGATTTTACTTTCTGTTATCTGCACATTTTTAATGTGTACTTTAGGACACTAGTCTACTGTCTTATTTGTATGTGTTGTTTAGATAAATAAGGTATTTGTATGTGTGCGCACTTTACCTTAGTGTTCTTAGAAGGAAATATAAACACAGATGTGCTTCCTTCAAATGTCAAATAAATAACTGTATAGTGACCACAATACACTGATTTTTGAATGAACTTTAAAAAAAAAAAAGAAAAAAATGTAAAGCAATTAAAATACTCCAGCCATAATATCATACATATGTGCAAACAAATGCATGTCACACAATGCATGAAAGAGATACATGTGAGGTCACTGTACACAGTAATTTATGAAATTTGAAGGAAGTGCACCTGTGTATATGTAGTTATTGCTTTACGGTTGCATATTCCAACTGTCAGTGTGCAGCATCCAGGGATTCACTCTGCGCAAAAATACTTTTCTGGTTAAATATAAAACCTAAAGTGGAACTAAACCATTGAATAAATGGCCTCCCCTGCCCCTCTTCCATGTTGCCATTTCAAGAACTCTGGCATGTACGGTATCTAGGACCTGGTAGAGACCTGCGGTGCATATGCATAGACATGGCAGGATTTCTGCACTAGTACAGTAAACTTCTAGCAGATTGCAGTTATACCACCCTTTGTGTGTATATTTGTGTGCATAGTTGCTGCTTAGTAACATGTTGCCTCTTTGGATAGCTGTGATGTAGCAATCCCAGAAGCGAACTGGGCCTGGCCTAGGCCGGAAACCTGGAAGTGCTGCTTTGCAGAACTAAATGGTTAAAGATAGAATTATGTAAGAAGGGGAGGGATAAAATAAAAAGTTGTTGCAGTGCGGTTCATTCCACTTTAATATGATGTAGTGTTTTACTAAACTTAGAAGCATCTAGGTTGGTTAACACTGGCTCTACTGTGTGTGTGTGACTGGTGACATGCTGTCACCTGTCATTGCCATTCAATAAGGTTCAGATAAAGGTGCTTGGCAGTTTCTAGCTATCTTTAACCTGTCTGTGCTGAAGCATTAGAAATGCACAGTATTGCAGCTATCTGGAAAAGCACCATTCTATACAATTTATCTGACTTTGGCTATAGCCTCAAATCTTCTACTTGAGAGTGCACTTTTTATAGCTACATTTAAAGTGTATTAAAAACCAAAATCCTTTTGTATTATTTTTGAATACAGTAGTGTGAAGTGTTAGTGTCATGTTTTTGTTACTGTCTGTGTCCCCACTAGGAAGATTCACCCTTTTTATCCTAGTGACCCCTGTTGCCAGGACTGAAAGTAAAGAAAAAAAAAATCAAACATTTTGAGGTCTCACCATAATGGAAGTGAATGGAATTTTCCCAAAGATTGCAAAAAAATCACATGATACATGTTGTGTGGTCTAGAACAGGGGTCTCCAAGCTGTTTCCCTCCCAGCTGTTGAAGTACTAAAAGTCCCATCATGCCTCTGTCTCTGGGAATCTTGCCTGTGGCTGTCAGAGGCTTGCAAGGCCTCATGGTTTCTCAACACCTGGAGGGACATAGTTTGGAGACACCTGGTCTAGAACCTTTTTGGATATCTGAATATTGATTTTGTTGCAAGGAATATTTTACTTCTTGATTCATGCTGTAGTTACTAAAATGCCCTAGCAGTATGTTAACTTTTAAATGATGCTACCTAAAGAATAAAAGTGGTTATGCTCTAATTAACATTTTTAATATTCCGCTTTCACTTATTGAACTCTTTAGTATGATATCTTGTTGATGGTTTGTAGGCTCAGAATACAATAAATGGGCAGTAAAATACTACTTTTTGTGAACTGTGTATTTGGGTCCACTTTTAACAATTATAAATGCCATTTGTACTGCAACCTGAAAAGTTAATCATGGTTGCCATTGTTGAGGAAATTTCTGTATCCACACTGGGGTTGATTCACTGAAACTGGAGAGTGGTTTCTATGCAGAGCTGCACCAGATTTTGTAATCCGCTTTCAGGTTTTTATATAGCCTCTTCCTTTTTTTTTTTTTTTTTTTTTGTCAAAGCGTATTTGAACAAGCTAAAGTTAGAAGCTGATTGGCTGCCATGGACCGCTGCTCCAGATTTTGCACTCACCAGTTTCAGTAAATCATAAATGGGGTTCCTATCTGCAGTACATTCAGTAGGAGCAATGACAATATAGCTGGTTACACAGGGGCCAAAAACCGTTGTTTTGGCAGGAACTGTTCAACCGTGTGCCAATAGCTGGTGTGGGGGTGGCATGTCCTGTTGTCAGAACACAAAGGCACAGTGGGAAAGATGGCCACACTAACAGGGCTTGTATAATTATGGCAATCTCTCAATTTTTTTTTTTTCGTTCAGCCCACTGGGCTAAACTGGTTAAAAAAAAAAAAAAAAAAAAGTCTAGTGTGTACTCGGCTTAAGGGGATGCTGCTGTGAAGTATTCATTATGTCCCTTTCCTTCTTTAATTTCTAGCTTATAATAGACATGTACTTGGAAATATATAATTAGTAACTCCAATACAGAAAAAAAAAATACATGTCCCATCTTATCTTAAAGGATAAGTGCTCATCCCCCTAGACATCCATGGGCTGTTTTTGGCCTTGGGACACAGCCCCGTGGAAGTCTGGGGATGTAATGTGCAGGCAGAACAAGGATGAGACTTGCCTTGATCTGACAACTGCATCCAGAGCCGCAAATGTGCATCTGTAGGAGGGTAGTGGGGAGGTTTAGGTCAGGAGGAGGCAAAAAGGATAAATGCACTTTGTTTTAAAGTACACTTTATTCGTAAAACGGTCTGCATGTAACACATTTTACAATTTATATTCTATCAAAGTCTGAGTAAAACAATGTGTCACTTTTAATTAAACAGAGGAATATAGCTGTGCTTATGGATCTGCAAAATTCTTTGCTCTTTGTGGCTTTGGTGGAATCATAAGCTGTGGTACAACTCATACTGCTGTGGTCCCATTAGATCTGGTTAAATGCAGAATTCAGGTTTGTGTCTACATGCATGTTAGAGTGAAGTTTGAGTGCAAACTAACTGATGACTAAATTAACTTGTCTGGGTACTAAATATTATACTACTCATGCATGTGTGTGTGTTTTTTAAAAAAAGCATGGTTTTTTTTTTCGGTTCATATAGGCGATTACAGTTGCGAATATGGCTCTGCAAAGTTCTATGCTTTTTGTGGCTTTGGTGGCATCCTCAGTTGTGGTCTAACTCACACTGCAGTTGTACCTTTGGATTTGGTGAAATGTCGTATTCAGGTGGGTATGCTAACAATGTTTCCAGTTGATATTTGTCAGAAGCACAATTTACCAAGCATGCTAAACATGACAAGTTTTGTTTATATGCATTGTACATGATATGTGTGTTTCCAGTTTGCATACTGTTTATAAATGTTTAACCACCTCCCGTCTGGCCGTTGTGTATACAAATGGCCGGACGGTGGCAGTGCAGGGTCGGGTGGCCGTGTATAAATGGCCTTCCCCCGCCCCCTGCTTGTGTGCACTCCCTGGGAGTGCGCAGCACCGCAATCCGGTGCCCGCTATGTCCTCGGAACATCGATCGTCGTATGGGACCTCTGTGCGAGGTCCTGATCATGTGATCACTGATTGGCCAATCAGTGATCACATGCAGAGTAGTAAGCAAGATGTCACTTCTAACATCATTGCTTACCACGTGTGACATCTGTGAATGATCAGAGGTCACATGGTACAAGGCTATTCACAACAGCCTTGTACCATGTGACAAGCTGTGATCAATCACAGCTCACACAATAGTTCTCAATGGCTGCAAGAATGCAGCCAGAGAGGAGAAATGATTGCTTTTACAGCCTCTATGGGTGTAAAAGCAATTAGTGTAAAAAAAAAAAAAATCCCCCCCCCCCCCCCCCCCCCCCCACAAGTAGTAGTGGCACTGTACTGCTAGGGTGACAGTATGTAAAAAAAAAAAAAAAACCCATTAATGTAAAATAAAAGGTTTAAAAATGCAAATATTTGGGTTAAATTTTTTTTTTTTTTTTTTTTTTTTTTTTTTTATACTAAAGATAACGGAATAAATTTTGGCCAAGATTTATGATAAAATATTTATTTGCAAAATGTTATAAGAAAAACACTTTTTTTTTTTTTTTTTTTCTTTTTCCCCAAAATTTTTAGACTTTATTTACATAGCAAAAAAAATAAAAATCCCAGTGGTGAATAAATACCACCAAAATTTAAAGCTTTATCTGTCTCAAAAAATACTAAAAAATTCATATGGGTACAGTGTTGCATGTCCGCACAATTGTCATTCAAAGTGTGATAGCACTGAAAGCTGAAAATTGGCCTGGACAGGAAAGGGGTGAAAGTGTCTGGACTGGAAGTGGTTAATAGTGTTAAGAGAGGGGAAGTTGTCAAAACTGGAGCAACTATGCTTGGCAACTAGTCAATCTCTATCTTTCTGATTCAAAGCTCAAATTATCTAGATGTAGCTAGAAAACGTATCCAGATTCCATTTGCTCCAGGTTTGATCAATTCCTTCTTTATTAAGCCTATATAAGCTGACATTAGGAGATCGGGGAAATTGATATGCAGTGTAAGATCGGGGTCAAAATTTTTTTTTTTTTTTTTTTTTCCCCTCCAGTTCCAGTAACGTGTATATGGGCTTGAAATCCCATATCAAGATAGCACATAAATACAGGACTTTTGCAGTGTTTTGGGTATCTGCTTCAAGAGAAGTCTAAAATGTTCACCTGATGTACTATACTTAAATGGGCAATAATGACAAACTTCCTATCTCAGCTTCTTTACTGTTTTGAAAGTTGTTGATGTAACTCAAGAAATTCAGAAGTCCTCCTTCCTAACCCAACCCCATGTACAAGGCTAACCTTAGGGTAGCAAAGCTTCTTATTTAATTTCTTCTGGGGTTTTTAGCCTCTGAAATGACTGCATTTTATCGATGTTCTTTTATAGTAAATAGCAAATAGAATTATTTCATTACAAGGCATTTATACCCCCCCCCCCCCGTTTTGATAAATAACGTAACTATAATGAAGCCATAGTAAGCTATTTCAAAATGGGAATGGCTTGAATAAAGAGAAGATCTCAGCAATTGGCAGGAAAGAGAGTCCTTGAGATAACCACTCAGCATGCTGTAAATACTTTGATTATACTAAACTTGGTTGCTAAGAAGAATGGTTAATGTGGTAGTGGCTTTTAATACTGAATATAGTTACAAGCCAGTTCCCTACTGTTAGGAGATGGTATGCAAATGTTTATAGTTCCACAATTGAAGATCTTTTATTTTCCTCTCCTAGGTGGATCCCCAAAAGTACAAGAGCATTTTCAATGGGTTTTCTGTAACTCTTAAGGAAGATGGTGTCCGTGGACTTGCAAAGGGATGGGCCCCAACATTTATTGGGTATTCCATGCAAGGCTTGTGTAAATTTGGATTTTATGAAGTCTTCAAGATCTTGTATTCTAACCTTCTAGGAGAGGTAAGCCTTTTGTAGGTTTCCAATTTTCAAATGTGTATAGCATTTACGTGTGTGTCAGGATAATGGCTGCAGCCATAATCCCGAAATTATTTTTACAGTGGTCGATGCAGCTTTTATACAAAAGTGATCCAAGTGGCATTTCAGCCACCCAATAATTTTCACAGGGCTTTGAAGGGGCTGCGGTTTCTGGGCTCTCCTATTCCACTGGGGAGTCCTGGATTGCTGTATGTGGTCAGGTTGGCTGCCAACAGAGGAGATGCAGAAATCTGTTCCCCGTTCTCTGTGACCAATGAAGCTGGAAGCGATGAGGATTTCAGCACTTCAGTTTCAGTGCTGTATCTCTGCCTTTTACAGCCAGGGAAGCAGCTGCCCTTGGAGGGCAGAAGAGGGATCAGGAGTCTAAGCGATCCCTTATCTCTCCAAAAATACCTATTGCTGCCCAATCACAGGAGGTGATGTTCACCCCTTGTGATAGTATTTAAGTTCAATTAAAACATTTTAAAAGTGTTTTATAAATAAACTTAAAGCACAGTCAATCTCACCGCCACCCCTCCCCAGGCTTGCACACAAATGCAAACGTGCACGTCCTTCATGCAAATGGTGATTGTACTATATGTGTGACGTACAGTGGATATAAAAAGTCTACACATCCCTGTTAAAATGTCAGGTTTTTGCGATGTAAAAAAATTAGACAAAGATGAATCATTTCAGAACTTTTTTTCACCTTTTTTAATGTGACCTATAAACTGTACAACTCAATGGAAAAACAAACTGCAATCTTTTAGGGGGGAGGTAAACATAAACTAAAATGTGGTTGCATAAGTGTGCACACCCTCTTATAACTGGGGATGTAGCTGTGTTCAGAATTAGGCAATCACATTCAAAATTATGTTAAATAGGAGTCAATACACACCTGTCATATTTTTTTTTTTTTTTTTTTTTTAATATAAAGTGCTTCTGGTTAACCCCAAATACAGTTTAGCTGTTCTAGTAGGTCTTTCCTGACATTTGTCTTAGTTGCATCCTACAGCAAAAGCCATGGTCCGCAGAGAAATTCCAAAGCATCAGTGGGATCTCATTGCTAAAAGGTATCAGTCAGGAGAAGGGTACAAAAGAATTTCCAAGGCATTAGATATACCATGGGACACCGTGAAGACAGTCATCATCAAGTGGAGGAAATATGGCGCAACAGTGACATTACCAAGAACTTTATGTCCCTCCAAAATTGATGAAAAGACGAGAAGAAAATGGTCTAGGAGGCTGCCAAGAGGCCTACAGCAACATTAAAGGAGCTGCAGGAATATCTGGCAAGTACTGGCTGTGTGGTACATGTGACAACAATCTCCCGTATTCTTCATATGTCCGGGCTATGGGGTCGAGTGGCAAGACAGAAGCCTTTTCTTATGAAAAAAACATCCAAGCCCAGCAAAAATGTAGCAAAAACACATCTGAAGTCTCCCAAAAGCATGTGGGAAAATGTGTTATGGTCTGATGAAACCAAGGTTAAACTCTTTGGACATAATTCCAGAAGATATGTTTGGTGCAGAAACACTGCACATCACCAAAGAACACCATACCCACAGTGACACCCTCAAAAAAGGTGTTACTCATGTGTTATGTGAAAAATGCAAACTGGGATGGAAATGGAGACTGGCAACAAAAATCCAAAATGTGCCAATTCCTATACGCCTACAAGTGGCGGAGCCTTAATAGGATCCGGATTCCCTACCTTGGTGTGAGCAGTGTAGTATCTTAAAGCACATGATGACCTTCTTTTAGATTAAAGGGGTCATGTTGGTCTGGTGAGTGATTTATTCTCATGAGCACAGTTTGGTGGTCTATTTTTCCTCACATCTGGTGGAGGTGGAATATAAAATGATTATCAGAGACCTTTTACACGTGGAAAGGTTTTTGGATGTAATTTACAAACATTTTGAATCGCTTGTATTTTGTCATAAGTGTTTATTTATTGATGTGTATGTATAGTAATTTGAACACTTGTTCCGTTTTGTTATTCGTGGTATAGCGCCCCCTAACAGTTTCTTTGTATTGAGTGTAGTTTAATTTTTTTACATATATAGGGAGGTAGCTCATAACTTTGTTCTACTGGCTGGTTCAATATGTAGTTGTTTCCATTGGTGACCTGGAGTCACAATTTAATACATCTCCTCCTTTTTATTTGCAATATTTCCAGAATAAAGGGAAAAGGGGGTTTAGCTGGTTTTAAGACCCCCATTTTTCACATGGGACTGCGACAGTAGAAGTTTCAAGGCTCCCCGGTCTTAATTGAATAGGGTATCCTTGATAGGTCAGTCAAGGCCATGTGCCTAAGAACCTTTTTGTAGAGGTTTTTTGAGGTCGTACTAGGATAGGTCAGTGACAGGTCAGGTGACCTCGGAACATTCTAGAAGGTGCTGGGGCCCCTATATAAAAGGGTCATGGCAGTCAGAGAGTCCTTTGCCAGCCTTTGAAGAAGGAACCATCAATGGACACACGCACACTTCCCAGTTGTTGTTGCCTAGTTATGTGGTGAGGTCACCTTTTTTATGTTACAAAAAAGGGGGACAGTTATAAATTATTGGAAATTTTGACATAGTTGCAACTTGAGTCCTACTGACTTAAGTTGGTATTAAGTGTGTAAATGGATTTAATTATTAAAAGTATGTTTTTAAAAACCAATAGTAAAAGCTACGGCCAATTATCAAATTCATGCGTGTTTGTTTATTTTTCATAATACTCTCTGCAGTCCCATATTTCTATTCGGATCTGCCTAGAGTGCAGTTTCCTAATTCAGGAATGAAAACCATTGCCGAATAGGACCCTCTTGAGAAGTAATTGACGTTTTCTTTGCTTTTTTTAAGGAACAATACGTAATTCATCTGTTTCTTAAAAAAAAAAAAAAAAAAAAAAAAAAAATTGAGGGTTTGTTTTGAAATGTATTTTATTTTTTTATATATTTTAGGAAAATTCCTATATGTGGCGTACATCTGTGTACCTAGCTGCTTCTGCTAGTGCTGAGTTCTTTGCAGATATTGCACTGGCTCCAATGGAAGCTGCAAAAGTCCGTATTCAAACACAGCCGGGATATGCAAATACCTTGCGACAAGCGGCACCCAAGATGTATGCTGAAGAAGGAATCTGGGCGTGAGTACATACCCCCCCCCCCCCTCCGACGTTTTGGCTTCCTAAATGAAACATGCTCCCTTAGATCCACCTTTGTGGGTGTTACCTTGTTCTGAGTTCAGCTGGATCCAGTTCAGGTGCACCCATCAACTTATTTGGTTGTACAGTCGAAGGTGCTTGAGTCATTGGCATGTAAGAATAATATACCTGCATATTGGCTATTGATGTTCTGTTGACAGCGGTTGCAACATTAATGCTGTGCCGTTTATCACCAATAGGACTTGGCTAATATGCGGACAAATAATTAGAAGAATATATTGTCCTTTTATGCTGTATTACCATAAAGCTTATTCCAGAAGGAAAAAAGCAACCCATCACCACCAGTGATGTGACTTACTGTGTTGTTTTTGTTCTTTTTGTTTTTTTAAATCCTGTTCTTAAAACTACCAGTGTTAGAAAACTTCATGCACACATGTATTGTGATTGTACGACAGGGAGTGTCATTTATTTCCCTTAATTTTCTACTCCACCTGTACCTTTTTTAAGCTTATGTAAATGTGCTGTATTTGTAGGTTCTACAAAGGAGTTGCTCCTCTCTGGATGAGGCAGATTCCATACACCATGATGAAGTTTGCTTGCTTTGAACGTACAGTTGAAGCACTGTACAAATATGTTGTACCCAAGCCAAGAAGTGAATGTTCAAAGTCCGAACAGTTGGTTGTGACATTTGTTGCTGGCTATATTGGTAAGTCCACAAGTTTTGCTATGTGTTACTACTTCACCACCCGTGCACAAAATTTACTCTGTCTGCTTTAGATCACTCCAGGTGGTTGAGAAATTCATGAATTTTAAGAAGCTGTTTGCCCTCTACATAAAAAGTACACTAAAAGCTGTTGACCAGTAGTACCATAAGTATTTTCCACTCCATAAGACGCACCTAGGTTTTAGAGGAGAAAAACAAGAAAAAAAAAATATTCTGAACCAATGGACTGCAGACGTAGTACAGGAGATGACCAGAGACTGTGGACGTAGTACAGGAGATGACCAGAGACTGTGGACGTAGTACAGGAGATGACCAGAGACTGTGGACGTACTACAGGAGATGACCAGAGACTGGACGTACTACAGGAGATGACCAGAGATTGTGGACGTAGTGCAGGAGATGACCAGAGATTGTGGACGTAGTGCAGGAGATGACCAGAGATTGTGGACGTAGTGCAGGAGATGACCAGAGATTGTGGACGTAGTGCAGGAGATGACCAGAGATTGTGGACGTAGTGTAGGAGATGACCAGAGATTGTGGACGTAGTGTAGGAGATGACCAGAGATTGTGGACGTAGTGTAGGAGATGACCAGAGATTGTGGACGTAGTGTAGGAGATGACCAGAGATTGTGGACGTAGTGCAGGAGATGACCAGAGATTGTGGACGTAGTGCAGGAGATGACCAGAGATTGTGGACGTAGTGCAGGAGATGACCAGAGATTGTGGACGTAGTGCAGGAGATGACCAGAGATTGTGGACGTAGTGCAGGAGATGACCAGAGATTGTGGACGTAGTAGGAGGACCAGATGACCAGAGATTGTGGACGTAGTGCAGGAGATGACCAGAGATTGTGGACGTAGTGTAGGAGATGACCAGAGATTGTGGACGTAGTGTAGGAGATGACCAGAGATTGTGGACGTAGTGCAGGAGATGACCAGAGATTGTGGACGTAGTGCAGGAGATGACCAGAGATTGTGGACGTAGTGCAGGAGATGACCAGAGATTGTGGACGTAGTGCAGGAGATGACCAGAGATTGTGGACGTAGTGCAGGAGATGACCAGAGATTGTGGACGTAGTGCAGGAGATGACCAGAGATTGTGGACGTAGTGCAGGAGATGACCAGAGATTGTGGACGTAGTGCAGGAGATGACCAGAGATTGTGGACGTAGTGCAGGAGATGACCAGAGATTGTGGACGTAGTGCAGGAGATGACCAGAGATTGTGGACGTAGTGCAGGAGATGACCAGAGACTGCGGACCTTTTGGGGAGTGGGTACCCGAATTTGACAGGTACCTGCTCCCACTTCCACTGCGATCGCCTAGGCGATCGGAAGTGGAAGTTGTCCTCGTGACCGGTCCCAGAAGACTACGGGGCCATTCACAAAGCGCAGAGCATCTCATGCTCTGTCACAGCTGGGTGCCCACACTAAAGATGCCGGCGCCAGGGATAGAAGACGGCTGGTGAAACCAGCGGTGATGAGGACATCGCTAGACTGAGGAACAGGTAGGATCGAGGAGCTGGTTCTGCTGCACAGAATAGCCAAGTGGCCGGCCCGGTATTCTAACAGGACAACTGGGAGAATACCAGGCTGGCCGCTCCATAATACTCAGACATTTTCCCTTTTTGGGGGGGGGGGGGGGGGGGGGGGAGAGTATGTCTTATGGAGCGAAAAATACGGTAGGTACAGTCCAGAATTGTGGTGTAGGGTTTTTCAATTTCCAGTTTTAAACATTTTGATTTGACAACATTTATGTGCCTTCAGGAAAGGTGGATGTTTAGGCAATCTTCATAGTTTATCCTTAAACATGCTCCCTTAGATCCACCTTTGTGGGTGTTTTAACTTGTTCTGAGTTCAGCTGGATCTATCCAGCAGTTCCAGTTCGGTAACACCCAACAACTTGTTGTTGTACCGTCAAAGGTGCTTGAGTCATTGGCATGTGAGAGTAATATACCTTCATGTTGGTCATTATGTTCTATTGGCAGTGGTTGCAGTGTTGTGCTGTACCATTTCTCACCAACAGGACTTGGCTAGTATGAGGACAGCTCATTTTGAACCATAAAGACTATATAAGACAAAGAACAGTAACCTTTTTTTATTCAGAATTTCCTGCTGTTGAGTAGCTGCAGTTTGTTGTAGTAATGAATGTTTGTTACTTGTGCTTTTTGACGATTGATGTGTTTTACAAAGGTTGTAAACATAACATTTCTTTTATAGCTGGTGTGTTCTGCGCCATCGTCTCCCATCCTGCTGATTCAGTGGTGTCTGTGTTGAACAAAGAAAAGGGAAGCACTGCTCTGGAAGTCCTTAAAAGGCTTGGACCAAAAGGTATGTGTGACGCATAAGTGTGTGTACGTAATAAATGTTTTTTTTTTGTTCTCTTCACTAAATACATTTTACATTTGTCATATATATACTCTAATATATAAATATATTTTTTTTTTGTCCATGCATAGGTGTCTGGAAGGGGCTGACTGCCCGTATCATCATGATTGGTACCTTGACCGCACTGCAGTGGTTTATCTATGACTCTGTGAAGGTCTACTTTAGACTTCCTCGTCCTCCTCCCCCTGAGATGCCAGAGTCTCTGAAGAAGAAGCTTGGCTTGACCCAGTAAACACATGGACTTAAATACTGAAAGTTCCAATGACACTTCAAACTGAGAAGTTTTTATAAATGCAATCATTTAGGACTTGCCATTATCTCCGATGTGTTGTATTCACTCTGGTAACCCACAACTGTAACTTGGTTTTACCACTGTACCTGTCTGTGTAAATAAACAGAGGACCCAGGCGGATGAAATATTGAGGATTTTGTCACATTTCCTAGACAGATATGTCCGTTTTTTTTTTTTTTTTGTTTCTTTTCCCTACTTTCATATTTGAAGGAAAGAAAAATATTTGAAGAAAAAGAGTGAAGGATTAGAGAATACTGAAGTCTTGACTAACTAAAATAATGATGCAAAACTGAGAGTAGCTATGGGGGACTGTCTCAGTGGAATTTTCTAGAGTGCAATATTAGGACTGTCATTCTTATCCTGGCTTCACTATTTAATGGTTCACTGAGCTAAAACAAATGTGTTGTGGGTGAAGAACTCTCTACCTATGTTCATGTCTCGAGTCAGACACTTATTGGAACAAAGGTGACATAAGTGAAGCCTTGTACCTTTTTTTTAAAAAGTTTTGTTTATCACGTGTCTACATTTGTACTAGAGTTAAAGCACTAGATATCATTTTTATTTGTTTCATGTTGAAATGTCCTGTCATTTGAGACTTTTCGTACCAATAATGGCAACATCCCACATACATAGCAAACTTCCAGCGTAGAATCAGAAGATCTGTGATGTACGTGTGACACCCCACCCCCCCTTCCCTTTCTAGCCAAGCCTTACAGCGAAACATGTTGAGTGCCGAGGTGTTTACAAATGATCCCAATACACATAATTGGTGCTGCTGATCTCTGAAAATGAACTCTACACAAAATGCTAATTCTTTGTTCTACTGGGATTCGTATTTCATTAACAAATTTTGGAAGGGTAGCTACAGGTGGTTTGGTTTTGAGATAATTAGGTGAGTGTTCCTTGTTCAACTTCCACTGCTGCAGGTGATCTGAAACCATTTCCATTCCACTTTGCAGTATCTATCTTGCCTTTTTTTGTATTCCCCACTAGCTGCAGGTGTAGTCAAGTCTCATTAATAACGATAACAGAAAACTTTAATATTACACTTTTAATATGATCCACAAGACAACCTGCACACTAGCAAAAAATACAATTCTAATTACAAGCATATATGTTATTTAATGATGGTGACCTCCCTTCATTAAAGTGTTTGCGGGGGGGTAGATTTACTTAAACTTGTACAGCTGTGCATGGTGGCCATTCAGCTTTTGACTTCAGCTTGTTCAATTAAGCTTTGACAAAAAAAAAACCTGGAAGCTGATTGGTTTCTGTGCAAACCTGCACCAGTTTTTGCACGTTCCGGTTTTAGTAAATCAACTCCTTAGTCCTGGTTCACACATTCATTTTTAGTGCATTTTGCAGAAATGTCCATTTAACAGCCACTGTTTTTGGAAAGGGGCAGGCTTTTTTTACTTAACAGTTTGTATTTGGTTCAATACACTTCAATGCTCATGTGGCAGAAACACGTGCGTTTTTTGTTTTTTTTTTTTTTTCCTTTTTTAATATGCAAATAGTATTGACTGATGCAATTTTGATGTGACTTTGGATAGATGTGACTTTTTTTTTTTTTGGTAATAGGAACGTATGAAAGTTCATGTCGAGTGACTTTGATGCTACTTGGATACTATTTGAGTGCCAGAGAGCAGAAAGTCAATACTCTCCTATTTGCAACGTGCTGGAAAAACACATCAATCGCAACATGCAAAGGGGTGTGAACCTACTTTTTTTTTTTTTTTTTTTTTATATATATATATATATATATATATATATATATATATATATATATATATATATATATATATAATTTTATTATACATTATTTTATATAGCGCCAAAGGGTTTGCTCAGTGCTGTACAATAGCGAGGGGGACAGAACATGAGACAATACAGTAACAATACACGAGGGGTTTGAGGGCCCTGCTCTTTCGAGCTTACAATCTAGGAGGGAGGGGATAGTAGTACAGGAGGAAGTGGCTGTGGGGGATGGAGTGGTGGGAGGAGTGGAGATCAGTTGTTAGGTGAGGGTGGGGTAGGCTTCCCTGAAGAGATGTGTTTTCAGGGTGCGCCTGAAGGTGAGGAGGGTAGGTGACAGTCTGATGGATTGGGGCAGGGAGTTCCAGAGGATGGGGGAAGTCCTGGAGTCTGGCGTGGGAAGAGGAGACCAGGGAGCTAGAGAGTAGGAGGTCCTGTGAGGAGCGAAGGGCACGGGTAGGGTGGTATTTGGGTATCAGGTCAGTTAGGTAGTTTGGGGCAGCGTTGTGAATGGCTTTGTAGGTCAGAGTTAGTTTGAATTTGATGCGCTGGGCAATTGGGAGCCAGTGAAGGAGTTGGCAGAGGGGGGTGGCAGATGTGGAGCGGTTGGAGAGGTGGATGAGTCTACCTCACCAACCGCTCCACATCTGCCACCCCCCTCTGCCAATATATATTTTATTACATCAGTGATAGCAGGTACCTAGAAGTGCCTGGATATGTGCTGGCATATATTTTGCTCTTCCAGGTGCCCCAAAACTTGGCAATTTTTAATATGTAATAACTTTAAAAACTGTACAGTTTTTATCTCTAAGCCCTTGTTCACACTGGATCTTACTTTGAAACCATGTGACTTCAAGTGAAGTCACAATTTCAAAGCTGCATATCAGTGTGATTTCAGGTGTGACTTGGATATCTGTGCGACTTCTTGCACAGATGTCAATGCAAGGCTCACCTGAAATTACAAAAATATTGCAGGAGCTACGTTCAAAATCCGTGTGGTTGGAACCGGACCGATTTGAACGGTTGCTGACAATAGGGTGCAACTTTTCATACGATTTGAAACTGTCCAAATTGCATGACAAGTTGCACTTCTGTGTACCAGGGCTAAGACCAAAGGTCTCAGTTTGTCCAATCAGATCACCTAGTCCTTGAAATTAATATTACTTAGGTTAATCCTAGTTATACAGCGCTAGTAAAAAGTGTACAAAGTAGCCAAACGTATCCACATCCAGCCCAAACTGTATCAATTACATCAAAACAAAGTCCAGAAGAACCTAAAAAAAATCTTCATAATTCACTCGTGCTGATCTGTTCCAAAAAGAGTGTTCTTGAACAGACTTTTAAAGCACCTTGTTTAGGCCACTGGTGCTGAATGGACTTACTCTATGATTGACTAAATTTGCCAAACTCTCTCAAGCAAGGCAATTGGGTATACCTTGTTTCACAAGTAGATTGCAGCTACTTGCCTGCTCGTTCCTCTCCATGACTGCCCTGTTGGTGCCAGACAATTGACAGTCAATAAAAGAGAGTGCCACATAGTGCAATCCCATAAACCATTTTGCACATTTACTAGTGATGTGTTTTTTTTTTTTTTTTTTTTTAATGTGTATATTACACATTTCCCCCCCCCCCCCCCCCCCCCCCCCCCCCCCCCCCCCCCCCCCGCCCCTTACTGACCAGGCCATCATGTTTTGCTGTTCGGCACTGCACTATTTCAACTGGTAGTTGTGCAATTCTGTACCCAGACTTTTTTTTTTTTTTTTTTTCCCCCCCACACAAAGATTTCTTATGGTGGTATTTGATCACCTCCTGCGGTTTTTATTTTTTGCGCATATAAACAAAAAAAAAAAAAAAAAACTAATTTTGAAAAAAGAGTTTTAACTTTTGGCTATAAAATATGTCCAATAAACAAAGTTAATGATAAATTTAGCCTAAAATGTATTCTGCTACATGTCTTTGGTAAAAAAAAAAAAAAAAAAAAATCAAATCAATAGGTGTATATTAATTGGTTTGTGTGAAACTTATAGCATCTACAAACTATGGTATATATTGGAATTTACGTACTAGTATCTCACAGAAGTCCAGTACATCCCTCACATTTTTGTAAATGTTTTATATTTTTTATGTGACAACACTGAAGAAATGACACTTTGCTACAATGTAAAGTAGTGAGTGCACAGTTTGTAGAACAATATAAATTTGCTGCCCCCTCAAAATAACTCAACACACAGCCATTAATGTCTAAACTGCTGGTAACAAAAGTGAGTACACCCCTAAGTGAAAATGTCCAAATTGGGCCCAAAGTATTAATATTTTGTGTGGTCAACATTATTTTCCAGAACTGCCTTAACCCTCTTGGGCATGGAGTTCACCAGAGCTTCACAGGTTTCCACTGGAGTCCTTTTCCACTCCTCCATAACGACATCATGGAGCTGGTGGATGTTAGAGACCTTGCGCTTCTCCACCTTCTGTTTGAGGATGCCCCACAGATGCTCAATAGGGTTTAGGTCTGGAGACATGCTGGTCAGTCCATCACCTTTCCCCTTGCTTTTTTTTTTTTTTAGCAAGTCAATGGTTGTCTTGTAGGTGTGTTTGGGGTCGTTATGTTGGAATACTGCCCTGCAGCCCAGTCTCCAAAGGCAGGGGATCATGCTCTGCTTCAGTATGTCACAGTACATGTTGACATTCATGGTTCCCTCAATGAACTGTAGCTCCCCAGTGCCGGCATCACTCATGCAGCTCCAGACCATGACACTCCCACCACCATGCTCGACTACGCAAGACACACTTGTCTTTGTATTTGTCACCTGGTTGCGGCCACACACTTAACACCATCTGAACCAAATAAATGTATCTTAGTCTCATCAGACCACAGGACATGGTTCCAGTAATCCATGTCCTTGCTCTACTTGTCTTCAGCAAAGTGGGGGCTTTCTTGTGCATCATCTTTAGAAGAGGCTGCCTTCTGGGACAACAGCCATGCAGACCAATTTGATGCGGTGTATGGTCTGAGCACTGACAGGCTGACCCCTCACACCTTCAACCCCTGCAGCAATCATACATCTATTTCCCAAAGACAACATCTGGAAATGATGCTGAGCATGTGCACTCACCTTTGGTCAACCATGGCGAGGCCTGTTCTGAGTGGAACCTGTCCTGTTAAACCGCTGTATGGTCTTGGCCAT